ACCCCATAAAATGTAACCCCCCACATGTGTTGCTAGGCTAGATTAGGAAGGGTGAGGCTGGGTCCGATTCCCAGACGGATTTGGTGTACTGGTGTACTCTCATCCTATCAATGATATCTCGCTAACTAAATCCTAATAAGTCTTGGCTAAACTGAACGGTTGAAATACTGTAGTGATGACTGCAGGCTAGGATTGTCAAGGCAGCTAGCATGGTCTGTTGATCTTGACATAGCAACTTACTCACTTCCAATGTCTATACTTAGAGGCTTAGGCCTGAGATGAGTATTTAGGATCAATCACCAAATGGCTATCAAAATGCACCCCGGAGAAACACCAGGGGGCTACAAAGGTGGTCTGGTGGATCCTGAGTTGACGGCGGAAAAAAAAAAAAAAAAAAAGTTATATATTAAAACTATTAAATATAAGCTTTGTAACAAAAAGTTAAATATTTTGAATATTTTTTTTTAAAAAAAAGATTTTATTGATTTATATAAAATCAAAGCATTATAAAAATAATTTATACTAATTAATATTTTTAAAATCAAAGCATTATAAAAATAATTTATACTAATTAATATTTTTAAAATCCAATTTTTTTTGAATTTAACTATTTGTTATAAAAAATTTATATTAAGATTTTTGCAATTATTATATTTTTTATTAATTTTTTTTTTCTATAATCAAATAAGTATATTGAAAGTTTATTTAATTTTATTGATAAATAATATAAGTTGAATTATTTTTATATACAAACTCTATATTTTATACTTAAATACTTGTTTTTGAAAAAATTATCTTTAGATATAATTTTGGAGATGAATAAAATTACTCATTCTTGCTTACTTATTCAAAAAAGTAAGTATCAAAATCATTGTTTACAGATTATTACTATAGTTTGTTTTAATAAAATCTTGATTATATTTATATTTCTAACTATTTTTTTTCTTTCTTGATTTTGATTCATAATATTTCTTTAAGCTTATCTATTACTTTTCTTTTTTTTTTTATATCTTATAGCAGATTAACTTGATTGTTTTTTTCTTTAGCAAGAATAAAAAATAATGGAAGTATTTCTTAAAAGTTTTCTTTTTCTTCTTTTGTGATCTATTTATTTTTTTTCTTTTGAAAATTGCTTATATTAATTTATAATTTTAAAATAAATATTAATTATACTGTATATAAATAGTCTATAATAAACCTTTTTGAGATTTTATTATATAATATAAAAATAAATAACTTTTTCAAACAAAAACAATTTATATAAAATTTTAAAATATCAAGAAAATTATTATCTGTTAAGTGAAACTATATTAAATATTATTTCATTATTTGATTTGTATATTTTATGGTATATATTATAAAAGAAACAACATCTTTCATATATTAATACAATAATTTAAATAATTTTTTTTAACAAGTATTTAAATATTTATTTTAATAATATAATTATAAGTAAACTTGTTTTTTTTATATTTTTAAAAATTTTTTTTAAATTATTATTTATTAAACTATAATTATTAAAATTTATGCAATATCTCATAAGTAACATTTTTAATAAAATAAAAAAAACATAGAAATGATGTTTTTTAAAAAATACAATAATAAATATATTTGAAAAAAATACTTTGTTAGATATTTATAAAATTATTCGATTAACAATATATATAATATAATTATTTAATACTTTATTTAAAATACTTACTGTATTTTAATTATATAATTTTTTTTTTTTTTATGTATCAAACAAATATTAATTGCAATATAAACTGCCATAGATCATTGCATACAATATCCCTCTCGATTTTTATAGTGCTTTCTTTTTTTATTAAATAACTTTTCGGGTGGAAGGGTTAACACCAGAGGTACTAATTCAGTGGTCTACGATAATAATAAATAAATATTTATCTCGTTAAATTTTTATTTTTTATAACAACTATGCTATTTAAGTTTTGAAACAATTTCGCAAGTTATATGGGATATCAAAAATGAACACTAATAATTCTACTGATAATTATTTTGAAATGTAAGAATTATAAAAAATATAGATTTTTTCTTAAAAAACATTTTATTTATTTTGGAAACTCAAAACTTACCGGTACATTGGCTGTAACACTTACTCATTATTGAATATCGATCTTTTTTATTCTGATCGAAATAAGTGACACAAACATACTGTATTTCGTTCAGGATCCTGGAGCTTATAATACAATAAGTTAAATCGCGCATTGTTTTTTGCTTCAAAAGATCATTTGTATACATTTTTTAATTAACCCTTACCCCGAAAAACAATTAAACTCCCCCCTCCCCCTGATGCATTTAGTGAGGATTGACAAACACTGAATAAGATTTTGTTATTAATAATTTTTAGCTTGTGCTATATGGCTACAACTATTAATAGCATGAATGGCATCGGAGTTACCTAAAAAGCAGGGATCGAGTGGAGAAAGTGTCAGAAGCCAAGCACGCGCGCGTCAAGTGCACCATAAAAGACGACTCCTAATGTGTAATATGTACGTAATCAGAGTCGGAACTTTTTTAAATAGGGAACCGAGACTATGGTTCCAAATACTGATGATGTACGCTACTTTAAGATTCCCTACAACCAATAGTATCGTGCCATATCACATAAAAAGAGCTGTCAATAATTCTCGTTTCCAGTTTCTCTTATCCAGTCTTAGTCCTTATGAATAATCGCTATCATTATTAGATTTGCATATTAATACGAAAAAGAGGTCAAAAAAATGACAGAGCGCGATAACAGCACGCCTTATTGGGGTCACAGGTATTTTCCAATATTATAGAACCCGAGACTTTCAGTAGATATTAATTAACTTTACCATGCGAATTGCTAGCACTTCAACTTTAGACTGGTGTGAAGTAAGAAATCCATTTGCTGATCAAGTTACAATTGAATCAAATTTTCTTTATAACGAAGATTGATCAAAAAAAACTTTTTGAAGGAAAACTATGTAGATCATAAATATATTGCTGAATTTGTTAATACCACGACAAATTTGATCTTTAGTAAGTTTCTTTCACTTAATAGAATGTAAGACGTCAAGTCAAAAAATCTAATCGAATTAATAATATTTCAGTTGGCTTAGCTAGCTTCGGTATATATATTACAGCAAAGTATGGTTTTGAAACGCGTTTCACAATTGCCTACGCGGCTATTGCTTTGATCGGTATCGGTTCATGGATGTTTCATATGACGCTTTTATATGAATTTCAGTTGTTGGATGAACTTCCAAGTACGTTTATTTAATCAACATGTATTATTCCTTCACTTAGCGCTAATGGTCAAATAATTCATTATAATTTTTATAAACCTCAGTGATTTATGGAACATGTGTTTTGGTTCATAACATGTAAGTTTTAATGAAATTGATCTTGGATTGCTTATCATTGAACCGTGACGCATTTACTCGTCTTTGCATCTTCTCCCCTAATGAAAGCTTCGAAACCGGACACAAACGAAAATATGGAATATATCTCCCACTGGGTCTATTTGTTTATGCTTCCAGCATCACAATAGCCTATCTCTATATTTTAAACCCAGTCTTCCATCAGGTTTCCTATGCAATTCTGGTCACGGTATTAAACATTCGTTCATACTACTTGCTTAGTTTAATTCCAAAGGGTAATCTCCATTCTACCCTTAAAAAACTCTTATTCGGCGCCTGGGCGATGTTCGGTATGGGATTTTTTTTATGGAACGTCGATAACATCGCTTGTGATAATTTAAAATTGGCTCGAGCAAGGGTTGGTAGACCACTCGGTTATTTGTTAGAATTACACGGGTGGTGGCATATTGGTACAGCGTTTGGTACTTACTATTGGATTGTATTTAATCAGTATTTAAGAGTGGCGTTGTTAGGTAAGGAAAATGAATGGAAATTAAATTGGACAGGGTTCGGCGCCATCCCTTACATGTCAATAAATGACAATGCCAAGAAGGATTATGTTAAAGTTCACTAGGATTAATGACTATATATTTACAGGACATATTAATAGTAATTTTACAGAATATTATAATAAATTGTTAATAGTGTTTAAAATTTTCGATTTACTTGTTCAAGTAAGATTTCCGAAAAATTATGTAATCATTTTTTTTTTTATAAAGTATTTTGACTTGCAAAAATTTGCTTAAATGCTTTTTTTAATGTAATTATGATATTAACAAGTTTTATAAAAAATATATATACGTAAAAGGTATTTGTATTCTCGGACGAAACAATCCTAAGCAAAGCAATTAATGCCCAATTCGCAAGAAAAGTAGTAGTATAGAATTTTTTTTTAGAAAGTCTATGAAAGAAATATAATGCAAATTAAAATATACAATTGGTAGAAAAAAAAAAAAAAGAAATACAAAAGTTAATGTTTTATCGAAAAATACAAAATAATAAAATAATAATAATAATTAATGATTTTTAAATTTTTATATCCTAAATCTAATAAAAAAAACCTATTAAATTCTTATTAACCTAGACCAATATATACTGTATATCTGGTGGCTAAACCTCCAACACAACAATATTGGTTTTATAGAAAATACCGCATAATAAAATCCGTAAAAATACATTCAAAAATAATTAAGGGCATATTTTGTAAAGAGTTAAAGAATTAAGAATAATTTTAATAATTTTACTATTAAAAAACTTATCGCTTAAAAAGTTTCGTCCTGATTAGGACAATCGTCCGTCCAATGTAAACCGTATTCCTCACAGTTATCACAATACTAAAAAAATATCAATAATTAATTATAACCCCTTCCCTTAAAAAATTATTCGTAAAATTCACTTACTGGTTTACCACCATCCTTGGTATCACTATTAAATGCAGCATCCTTAATGTTTAACATATCCTCGTTTTCTCCTGAAGATTGAACAACGGCTTTGCAACTCAAAACGTCATGTCCTTCTTTCTCACAAATTTCGCAATATAATTTTGGCGTTCCCTTTTCCTCTTTTTCTTCTTTTCCAGTTCCACCTTTCACCACACCTTCGTATTCAAAGTCTAGACCAAATGATTTTTCCAAATTGGTCAAATCCCTTAGCTGCTCCTTCATGTCTTCCAATTCAGATCGCAGTTTCTTGGAGACTGAACGTTCCCGTTCGATTTGTTCTTCTAAATCCGCTTCACGGAAAATCTTGCTTTCAATCAATGATTCCAACTCAGCAACCTCTTTATTTAATGTGCTAACCTCTCGCTGCCTAACCTTTTCCAATTCAGAAATTTTCTGGTGCAGTTCCCGAATTTCAACATTACGCAATGTCGTCAAATGATCAATCTGGGTTTGTTTTTCTACCAAGAGCGATTGAAGACGCTTTACTTCGGTAGCCGGCTGACCGTCAACAGTAGAATTTGTTGTATTATCGTTATCTTCAGTCGTTTCCTGGTTAATCGCACCATTATTATCATATGTATCTTCGGCGGGAGGAGACAAAGATAAGATGCCTTGGGTTCCAAGAGATTCACTGTGTAATCTCTCTAATTCATCCATCAATTTCATACACTCGTTCTCCGCTTGCCTATGAGCCTCCATAAAGTGTTCTTGCTCAATCAAAATCTTTTTGTTTGCCGATGAGAGCTTAACATTTTCCTCAGTCAATTCCTTAACAATAACTGTTAGACCATTGAATTGTTCTTCATATTTCGCAAATTTTTGTTCATACTCTTGGTTACATTGTTTTAATGCCTCTGCCGCTTTAGTGATCACGACTAAATCCTTGATCTTTTGCTTCAACTTAACAATTTCAGACTGATATTCTTCGATTCGATTTTCGTAATTCGTCTTCAATTCATCGAATTCTTGGGAATCTGTCATTGGTGCTTCGACGGGTTTTGTGTTCTCCGCGTTTTGTTTGTGTTCTTCAAATTTCTCATTTAACTTTTTCAGTTCTTCCATCTTCTCTTCTAGTTCGGATTTTAATTGATTGGCAAGGTTTGCCTGAGTTTGTAACTTTTCAAGTTGCTCGCGCAATTCCGACAGCTCCTTTCCTGTATTTGCTTGAGTCTCGGCTAATGTCTTTTCTGCGAGTTCACGTGCTTCTATCAATTCTGCCTTCTCCTTTTCAGACTCCTTTATAATATCACCATTTTTGTTAACGGTCTCCTTTAATTCCTCAATTTTTGATTTTAATTGAACTCTTGTCAAGTCCAATTCATCGTCTGCCTCCTTTTTTTCTCTTTCATGTTCTTTAATTTTTTGTTCCAATAATTTCTTATCATTCAACAAGACATCTAGATCTCCAACAATAGATCGTTTTTCCGACTGTACTTCAGATAACGTCTTTCGTACTTCTTCCAATTCATCCTGCAATCGATTGATGTCGCTCTCATAAACTGCTTTTACATTTTCAACTTCCTGATTATCCTTGGAATCCATGAGTTGCTGAACATTATTTTTGAGAGCAGCAATTTCTTCTTGTTGTCTAGCAATGAAACTCTTTGATTCTCTGACTTCATCTTCCAATTGATAAATATTCTCGCGAGATTTTGCATCAGCTCGCATCAACTGTTCCAAACAGGATTGCAAATCCGCCAACTCTTTACGAAGACCTTCCATTGATTTTTCCTTTAAATCCAATTTATCGTTGGCATCATTCAGCCTCGATCTTGTTTCGTTTAATTCCACTTGCATCGAGGAGAGTTCTTGTTTCACTTTCTTAGCGGCTTCAAGGGCTGCCTCTTTTTTGCTCAATGTTGCCTCCGCGTCTTTGATCTCTTTGTCTTTGATTTCAAGCATTTTCTCGTATACGTGAATAGCCTCAACCCCGGCTAAACGTAATTCCTCACATTCTTTTTCCAAGAATTTAATTCTCGAATCACGTTGCGTAATTTTAGCGTTCGATTCTTCTAAACAGGTTAATGTTTCTATACCGGCCTTTTTTAAATCCTCAATCTGTTTTTCGAGAGCGGTCACTCTTATCTCATAAATTTTTATTGCTTCCTTACCGGCATTCTTTAGTTCAACAACAGACTCTTGCAAAGAGGAAACTTTGCTTTCGGAATCAACTTGAACCTGGGTTGCTGTTTCCTGCAAAGAGCGAACTTTATTCTCAGAGTCAGACTGAATTCGATTCAATTTTTCATTTAGCTGACCGATTTCGTTCAATTGTTCTTGAATAGTTATCTCGGATGTTTTCGACTTGGCGATCAACTGTTCGATCTCTTCGGTTCGTTTATCATTAAGCTTCTCTAATTCTGAAACCTTTGACTTATATTCTGCCGAATCTGCGTTTGCCTTTCTAAGTGACTCTTCAAGAACTTTCATCTGTTCATCTTTTTGCTCCACTAGTTCAGTCAAAGACAAAATCTTGTCATTCATCAAGTCATTATCGGCGATCATTGATAACGATGTACTTGGCCTAGGGTGGTGCCCTTTCGAGGCGTCTTCAAGTTGTTTAGTCAACTGTTCAATCTTTTCATTTAAAGTTTTCTCAGTTAATTCTTTAGCTTCTAAAAGATTCTTCTTCTCAATCTCCCAATTGCTATTGATTTCAATATTTCCATTTAACACACGACCATTGGAAACATCCAGTTTACCAGACTTAGCTTGAATTTTCTCTTTTTCAAGTCTTAAATTAGTATTTTCGGTCTCTAAAACTTCAATTTTCATTTGTAATTTTTTTATTTGAAGATCTTGCTCATCGAAGAGACCGATAGGATGACCCTTGATGGGTTCTGGATCACTTAATAATTTTTGTATCTTTTCCTGCAACGATTTATTACTCATTTCTTCGTGAGCAAGTGGCGTGGAAACTGTAGTCTCGGTGTCAGATGGTGACTGCGAATCAAGAGTCTGGTTGGGTGTCGTCGCCCTAGAACGTGGTAAACCCGACTTGTGATAATTTCCTGATTGAGAGATGTTTGATATGGCAGATTCATTGGAGGCATCACTCCCTCGGCGGGAGCGATTATTATTCGAATTAAAAGATGGAGTTGGTGATTTCGAATTTCCATAAGAACCCGGACGTTTCAGTCCAAGATTTTGTTTTGTTTTTTGCTGCTGAGATATCTCATGAGAATTGGCAGAATCTATAACAGCTGGAGTAGTAATAATGTTTGAAGGCTTTACTAAAGCCCTTTGTTTGAGCTGAGAAGCGGTAACACCAATATATTTTGAGGCACGTGATCCAGCTGTTATACGAGACGCTGCAGCTGCTGCATTCTGAGCATTTTTTGTCATGATCGTGTTTTTCATTAAAGTCGTGGCATGTGCCCCAGAGGACATTTTATCACTTGAATTACTTGACGCAGATGGAGGCCGCGGTATTGAATGATTGGTTTTCGCTGTGGATGGGATTTGAGGCAAACTTGTCGCCACTCCAATTTTACTAGAATTGGAATCTATTGTATCTACGGACTTGGAGAGTTTGCTGGCAAGGACGAAAATACCAGATTTTGGCGGGCATGAAAAATATTGTTTACTGTTCATTTAATGCAAAATATCATTTAGAACTGAGCCCGTAATTTAATTATCAAATGTGAATTTTACGAAATAACTAAACCTACCCATTAATGCTCCCATCATTTTTACCCGTACCAGGAACATCTAACTCAATTCCAGCCCAAGTCCCCGGCTTAATATCAATAGGACCTAAAAACTGCAAGGTTCCAATAATATTCATTGACTCCACAGAGACGCGTTCTCCCACTGAATACAATTGAAGTGAAGGAGAAACTGGGCGCTGTGGGGTAGCAATTGATTGTAACCTCGGATTAATAGGCGTGATTGATGAAGATAAATTTGATCCTGGTGTGTTATGCGTTATGTTTTGCGAGCGTTGGAGCTGCGATGGAATATTTTGTGATTGTGTTCCAGAATTAGCTTGGTATAATTTTGTTGCGAGTAAGGATGGTGCGGTTTCTGTGTGAGATTTCTTCATAAAATTGTCAGATGTATCAGGCGTATCTGTTATAGATGGAAGGGATGGACGGGTCATCCTGGAAAAGCTTTGTTTTCTTAAACCAGGTTTCTTTGGTGGGTTATTAGAATGACTGCTTGGCGTTATAGGGAGTGACGAAACACTTTGACTAATAGAAGTCGTTTCATTTGACTTGGCTAAGGCAGCCGGACTATATTTCTCCATAGCCTCCTGTAAAAGAGCTTCCTGTTCAGGAGTTAGTCCTTTTAGGATAGAAGTAGACTTTTGAGCGGCCCCAGCAGATGAACGACGTCTGCCTCCTGGTCCAGGAAGGCTAGAAGTTGGTAGACCACTGGGTTGTTTTGGTAATCTCGACATTTCTAGGAAAAAATGGATTACACGTTTGTTAGACGACGCCGAACCGAAAAAAAATTTCGACTAGAAATTTACCTGACAAGGAGAGGTTTAGGAAGATTACAAAATCAAGTATGTAATTTAAATATATGTACTGTACGTACACAATTGAAATCACATGAATATCACATGTATTTTCTAAATACAAAAAGTTCGTTTCCTGTTTCTACGTCACTCGAACCAAAAATGCTAGCATTATCGTTATAAATGCAGAATTGCCGTTTGTTCACCACAGAATAAACCAATTGAGTTTATAGTGGTACAAAAATATAAATAGAAAATAATATATAATATATCCTCGTAGTGAAACAATATGCATAATTGTTTAAGGTGGTGTCAGTTTATGCTTATTACTAGTGGCACTACATAAATTAACAATTTGATTTTTTTGAATTAATACGTAGTAAAATAAAAAGTACGTAATTGTTTATTTAAGCAAAGTCAAAATAAAACGATAAAAAAAATTATTTATAATAATAATACAAGTATAAATATTATTTTTAGTTTAAATAACATTAAAAATTCAATTTAATTTAATTTATATTTATTATTAATAAGAAAAGTAAAAAAATATTATACAGTATATATATATATAATATATAATAAATCAAATACTAATTAATCTATTAATATAATTTATTTAATTTATATTAAAAATAAATATTTAAATTAATAATTAATTTAATAAAATAAAATTTATTATTATAATAATTTTATAATAATTTTTTTTAAACCTGTAATTAAGCTAGTATTGTTTTATTTATTAAATCATAAAACTATTACTTTCCAACTTTAATATATTTTGGCATATTATCTTTTTTGGAAAGTGGCTAAAGCTGAGTAATCGGTATTAAGTAATTATCCAATAAAATATTAATATAAACAAACTTTTTTTATATAAAAAATTATAATGGTTAAACAAAAACGGACTAGTTTTTTCAATATTAATAGCTCATTTAAAGTTTTTGCAAAAAAATTTTAAAAAGAGTTATAGTCACTTGTTTCAAATATTTGGATATAATTTAGTAGTTGAAAGTATATAAATGAAAATTTTACAACTATTTATTCCTGTTGTTTTGCAAAGCACAATAAGTCGAATATATAAAAAAAAGAAACTTTGATTGAAAAGCAAAAAAAAACCAATATATATATTGCTAATCTATATAGTATAAAAATTAAAGTAATATATATTATTGAAACTCAAATTTTTCAAATTAAATAGTTCAAAAATACTTCTAATCATATATATTCACTTGAAGATAGTAATAAGCTTAAGTATTCTAAAATAATTAGAAAATTAGTAATTGAAGAAACAATTAAGTCTTATATATTACCAGCTATTATTGTTATTGTTAAAGAAATTACAAAAAAAAAAATAGGAACAATTGTGCAAAACTTAAATAAAAAAGAAGTTTGAATATTCAGTAAAAGTAATATGAATTACTAATAATTTATTTTATTAATAAGCATAATTTGAAGTTGGATATTCAAAATATTTTTAGATTTTTAATTTTCAAAAATTATTAGGTTAAGCAATTTTATATAAAATATAATTTATCACAAGATCTTTGTTTTACAAACTTTCAACAGTTAGAAAAGTTACAATATTATGAATAGTTAATACTTATAGATTCTACTCATAATATAAATAAGTATTTTTGATGTCTTTTTATATTATATATTTATGATAATTATGATTATTGAAATATTGGAGCATATTTTTTTATAAGTGTTGAAGATAGTAATATAATAACTCAAGTATTAAGGATAATTCGCAAATTTGTACAGTATTGGTACCCCCAGTATATCCTTTATGATCAAAGCAATATAAAAATAAATAGTATTATAAAAGTTTTTCCAGATATTGAAAGTAGTAAGCAGAATTATTGTATAATTCTTCATATAGTACATATAATATATACATAGCTAGACAAAATTTATTACTTAGCAACATATAATAAGATAATTCTTGTTATACACAAAAAAACAAAAATTAATTATGAAGAGATCATTTATGATACTATCACCATCTGTCCTGTTTCTGATATCATTCGTTATATAAATCGCAACTACATTAAAAATACTAACAAATGGACTCTTTGAGTATAACAACATGTACCCTTCTATTACAAGTTATCACAATGAACCCATTTGAATCTTACCATAGTGAACTCAAAAGAATAACAATTAAAAAATATGGATTAATTGATAAATATTTCATTAAAAAAAAATTTTTTTTATTTGATTTTGAAAAATTAATCTCACTTATTTATTTTCTTACATTTATTTATTTACATATATTCTATAATTCTCTTACTTTATATTTATTCATTTAAATTTGTTTATTTTACTATAACCCTTATTTAATTTATTAGGAATATACTATAAAGTTGTTGAGCTCAATGACAAGAAGCATATCGATTCTGAGAAAGCTGTTTTCAACTTTTGTCATAAATATATTTCTATAGCTGGTTTTGATAAAGAGATTCTCAAACAAATTTGTAAATTTTTCTATCCAATACAGAAGTTAATTATCAATAAGACTAAAGTTATAAAGCTAAAGATCAAAAAAGAAAAGTTATCTCCAAACTTATTAATATCTGAATGTTACTGTATATTTTTTTATTATTACCTGCTTTTTTGTCAGCATATGCTCTATCAATATCTCTTTGGTTTAAATCCTAACAAGCTATTGACAAATAACACTTGGAAAAACTTTAGCAAATATTTGTTGAGACTGGATTGAAAATATGAGAGCCATAAACTGGTTAAAGTACTTAAGCCTGTTCAAACACCAATGGAAAAGGAGATCGAGGCATATAGGTTGCAAGTGAATGAGCTTATGGAAAGAGTATATGGATGATTGAGAATAAGGGTAATATAAGTGCAACTGTTGTATTTATTTTATGTTTAAATATATCACTGGATTAGATTCTCATATCTAAATAAATATATAAAAGAAATCAATAAAATAATCACAAGCTTTATATAAATAAAATAAAAAAATTGTATCTTTATATATCAATTAGTCTTTGAGTTTAGCCTTTAACATTTTATTTGATCTTTTCATTAAGTATATAATCGAAAGTAGTAATTGTGGCCTGGGTATTATATTAAATAAAAAAAAAAAAATTTTTTTTTGAGAATTATCAAACATTCCATCCTTCCTTTTTATATATCATATAAAATGGATATGACTTGAGCCAAAATCGAATAAGTTTCGTGAAGTATAGAGTTATTGCATATACATATAGTGAATGATTTGTGTTAAAAGGATGGCAATGTGATTAAGGAAATTGTCAAACAAACTATCAAAACAGATATGACATGAGCCAATATTAGAAAAGGTTAATAAAAAAGTAAAGTACATACAGTATGATAAACTATAATAAAGTATAATAATACTCGTTTCATTAATCTGATAATTTGAATGCAAAAGAAGAACAACAAACTTAAAGAGATTATTGAACTAATGTCAAAAACTATTTTCTGGAAGATTGTCAGTAAAAGATAGAAGGGAGACATATTGCAAAACAATACAGAGAAAGATTTTTATATTAATTTCATTTTCTTTTATAAATTTGTTATCAAATTTAATTTAAATATATATTATAAAAAAGGATATATCTATGTTAAGATATTTGCCAAGTTATTGCAAACTCCACTACAAATTAAGAATTTCTGTTATCCCAAGGAAACTCAATCGAGACCCAAAGTATGGTTCAATAAAATGGTAATTGAAAGTTTGTTATTAAGCCAGGAAATTCATAACTATTATATTAATAATAAGATGGTGATTGGGATGTTGGTAGAACAGAAAACCCATGATGATCATGTTAACAATAATATTAATATGTTAATATTTTATTGAATAATTATATATATACCTATATACTTGATACTTATTGGATAATTACTTGATGCCGATCACCTGATTTTAGTCACTCCCTATATAAGAAAATTTTAAGAAATAAAATTCCTTTTTTTTTTGCTAATAGATATTAAATATAAGACTTTATTTAAATATTTGTTTATAATTATTATATTAATAATCTTTATATAAGTAAATTAATTATGGTCTATTATAACAATATAAAGTAATACATATAGATTCTAAAAACCTATATGGAAAAAAAAAAGAATAAATAATAGTTAGTTATCAATTATATTATAAACTAGTATATATGTTTATTAAAAAAAAAGATATGAATTGTTTAATGTGATTAGGAGAATTAAATTTTGAATATTTTGAATTCAGAAATCAATTTGTTGTTATAATATAGCCTATAGATTTTTTTTATATTAGAGATCTTGTTTTCAATATAATATGATTATTTTGTATTGATTTTTTGAAAAAGATAATCTAATTATAATTTTTGATATAAATAAGAATTAAAAAAATAAATAAGAAAATTAACTTCATAAAAGTTTTTCTTAAGTATATAGAGATAATAATAATGTCAGATATTTAGAATAGAAACACTTGTCTAGTATATATTTCTGATTAAATATTTTAGATAGAACCAGAACTCAGCTAAGTAAAATTTTATATATCAAAGTAATATTAAAATAATACTAATTTATAATAAATTTAAGTATTAAACTAATATTAAATTGATATCAAATAGGTATTGAAATAATATTGTTAGGAGCTTTAGATCTAGTGATCTTAGTTAACAAAAAAATTTCTAATCGATTAATGTTTTAAATATAATTAACTAGTTGCAACTAAAAATTTTGAATTCTAATTGGTTAATTTTAAACTTTTCAACTAATGATTCGTAACATTATCTAGATCTATTATATCTCTTTATATATTCTTAGATTTTAATATAAAGATTAGTAATTAGGGCTTCTAATGATGCCACTTTAATACCTGTTTGATACCAGTTCGATACTTAAATTTACTATAAATTCATATAAGTGGATTATAACCTATATATTAAATTTACTATAGATTAATA